CTGCATGTTAATACTTTGGAATAAATATAACTGAAGTGAAAGTGAAGATATATGCCTTTTTATAGTTATTTGATGGCTCGCTCAGGGAGTGTGAAGGCCTGCACACAAGCCAATCCATTTTATAATTAATGTACATATATGCAAAGTAACGTCAAAGGTTTTTATTTCAGAATAAAGACAGATGTAGACGATAATGTAAATACATTTCAAGGAAAACATATCTTAAATGAAAGCAAAGATATGGTCAAATAAATAGGCAATACCACACCATCGCCAGTGTCCGGACACATGAATATTCGCATTAGGTAGGTGAAAGGAAATGTACCCAACCATTTCCATTTACGCGACCAGTTTCCGTTCTTATGTTCTTACTTACATTTATTGAAATTTATCATCATCATCATTTACAGAAATAAATTAACATAAAAATGTAGTAATTTTAATACACAAAACAGAAGTAGATATGTATGTAAATTATGTCGCAGGATAGGATCACTATTGCAGAACTATTCGCATACTTTGCGTCATTATATACAGTACTGGAATTTAAAAAAAATCGCGGAATTCAGAGATAACACCATCATTGGTGTCCAAGAAAAGTGTAAGTACTTCATTTATAATGATGTGCTGCCCAAAATCTTAGTGAAGTATCTAAAATTTGCTTACTGTAAGTAATTCATGCAAATGATTGTAAAGCTGCCGCCCAGTTGGGTGGGTGTGGAGCACATGACTGTAAAGCTGCCGCCCAGTTGGGTGGGTGTGGAGCACATGACTGTTAAGCTGCCGCCCAGTTGGTTGGGTGTGGAGCACATGACTGTAAAGCTGCCGCCCAGTTGGGTGGGTGTAGAGCACATGACTGTTAAGCTGCCGCCCAGTTGGTTGGGTGTGGAGCACATGACTGTAAAGCTGCCGCCCAGTTGGGTAGGTGTGGAGCACATGACTGTTAAGCTGCCGCCCAGTTGGGTGGGTGTGGAGCACATGACTGTTAAGCTGCCGCCCAGTTGGGTGGGTGTGGAGCACATGACTGTAAAGCTGCCGCCCAGTTGGGTGGGTGTGGAGCACATGACTGTTAAGCTGCCGCCCAGTTGGTTGGGTGTGGAGCACATGACTGTTAAGCTGCCGCCCAGTTGGGTGGGTGTGGAGCACATGACTGTAAAGCTGTCGCCCAGTTGGGTGGGTGTAGAGCACATGACTGTTAAGCTGCCGCCCAGTTGGGTGGGTGTAGCGCAAGACTAGTAATTGGACGACTCACCATAGATGTAAAGTGCCTAGTATAGTGACTTGTGAGCCTCTTGTTGAATCACTTGTGATACAAAGATTATTGATGTGTGTATTTGTGTGGGTGATTGAATATGTATGTGAATGTATTTGTATGTGAATGTATTTGTATGTATATGTATATATGCAATTGACGATCACGAAACAATAATCATTTGTATGCGGAAAATTCCATATTTCATTTCTCTGGATCTACAGCATATGTATATATATATATATGTACATGTATGTATGATTATGTGTACATGTATATATATAACATTAATAAGAAGAAATGAAGATGAAGAAATGATAAAAAGAATGGCAATAGTGGATAGTAGTAACACACTTAAGAATTATTCAGTAATAAACACAAACTCGTCCTTCACCTATGGTAACGGAAAGTCAACTTGGAAGGATTCAATTTACATGAGATTAAGATTAGGATACAAATATATCTGGCAATACGGTGTTGATGTCAGTGAAAAAGATAAGGAGTGTAAATTATGTAGTATGCCGTACGCCCACACCTTAGAACATTATGTATTAGAGTGTCACCTTATTGAAAAATATAGAAATAAGGAAATAAATAGTGTACCACATCAAATTGTTTGGATGTGTGATAATGGTATAATAGACAGTATACTTAGGAGCTACAAGAATTTTGCCCCAAGAATGTAACAATTATATGCTGTACTTGCTGTATGCAATGTTAAATGAGATTCTTGTACTGTTATATGTCTATTTGTACTCACTGAATTTGTGCGCCCCTTGAGGGACTTGAAGTAGAGGGGGGTAGAAATAGCCTAAGCTACTCTATCCCTTTGAGATGTATTTATTGCTTATCTCAATAAACATACTTGAACTTGTAAAACTGTAAATTGAAAAGTGAATTGAAAAACTGTAAAACCTTTGCCTTATTTAAAAGCAAAACCAAAAAGTACCTAACTTCATCTTCTTAGTTTCCTACACTGAGCTTTAAATTTGCTCTGTACCTAGTGTTACCCAATCTCCTAATTTTTATGTAATATCAAACAATTAACCTTATCATTGTGTTCATTGCTGTCTTCTTTTATGTGCTAGCCATATGCTGTATTGTGACTACCAATTTTTGTCAACTACCATTCAAGCTGTCATTGCAATCAATCTTATATTGTTTCTGCTGTATTGTGCCTACCAATTTTTGTCAACTACCATTCAAGCTGTCATTGCAATCAATCTTAGCTACCTATGTGCTTTAATATACTGTACCTACAATTTTCTCTCATCTTCTTTTTTCATTTCATGTAACTGTTATCATTTTTTGTCTATAAATTTTGCAAGTATTTACCTCCTTAAAATTTTCTTAGATTAAGGACCTGCCCGAAACGCTGCGCGTGCTAGTGGCTTTACAAGACTGTAATTACCATATTTGTATCATCACATTCCTTATGTACATTCTTGTATATGCATAAATAAATAAATAAACTTGAACTTGATATCGCGCAGAGGATGAATATGGAGAGCAAAGTAAACAAAGATTCACACGATGAGAAAGGGTTGCGCAATGTCCTATGACTCACAGGATGAGTATTAGCTGCACAATAAACTACAGGTCACAGGATAAGTATGGGTTGCACAATAAATTACAGGTCACAGGATGGGTATGGGCTGCACAAACTACCGGTAACAGGATGAGTATGGGATGCACAATAAATTACGGGTCACAGGATGAGTATGGGTTGCACAAACTACTGGTAACAAGATGAGTATGGGGTGCACAATAAATTACCGCACAGAGGATGAGTATAGGGTGCACAAACTGGTTGGGTAAATGGAAATGGTTGGGTACATTTCCTTTCACCTAATGCGACTATTCATGTGTCCGGACACCGGCGATTGTGTGGTATTGGCTATTTATTTAACCATAACTTTGCATTCATTTAATAATTATATTAAGATATGTTTTCCTTGAAATGTAGTTACATTATCGTCTACATGTCTTTATTCTGACATAAAGACCTATGGCGTTACTTTGCATATATGCAAAGTAATTATAAAATTATAATAATTATAAAATTATATAATTATTTGCAGTCTCCGTGGTGTAGTGGTAAGACACTCACCTGGCGTTCCGCGAGCGCTATGTCATGGGTTCGTATCCTGGCCGGGGAGGATTTACTGGGCGCAATTCCTTAACTGTAGCCTCTGTTTAACGCAACAGTAAAATGTGTACTTGGATGAAAAAACGATTCTTCGCGGCAGGGGATCGTATTCCAGGGACCGTAGGCTTAAGGACTTGCCCGAAACGCTACGCGTACTAGTGGCTGTACAAGAATGTAACAACTCTTGTATATATCTCAAAAAAAAAAAAAAAAAAAAAAAAAAAAAAAAAAAAAAAAAAAATTGATTGGCTTGTGTGGAGGCCTTCACACTCCCTGAGTGAGCCATCAAGTAACTATAAAAAGGCATATATCTTCACTTTCACTTCAGTTATATTTATGCCAAAGTATTAACATGCAGCTTATATTTATGTCTTTATGATGACATAGAAAACTTCGTTTATTACAATATCTAGATTAAATTAACATTGATCTTCGGAAGGTCATAGTTCCCATATCGGTAAGGAGAGCGTCGGCCATGAAGCCTTGTTTAAAGTATGAATATTTTTCCTCTCTAATAAGGTATAATCTCTGTGATGGATTCACAAAAACTATTTTATATCTGCCTTTCTGATAACATATACAAATATAATCTTTATTTGTGAATATTTGTTAATTAAGCAATATATCAGAGGGCGTGTAGGGTTCGGTGTTCTATAAACGAAAAGGACTGGATCACTGTATACAGGAGGCTGATATGGCAGCAAACACTCTCCAGGCGACCATATATCTTGGATAAGTCGCTCCACACAATTGTCGCTTGGACCGTCGACTTCCTATGGCGTCACCTCTTACATATTTACGTCTCATTTCGTTATGATATTAGATTATTTCAGAGTAAAAATAGGTTTGATCATGTTCTACGTGTAGCACCAACATTATAGTAAGTAAATATACCATATTTCTTCATTACTTACGTAATGCTAGGACGATTTGTGTAGTTTTGGGCCGATTTGGGTAATTCTATGGACCGCTGTCGGGTAGTCTGTGCGGGGTCGGAGCTTGGCGATTATTAAAACACATGTAATCCACATTATATATATCTTTATTAATCCACATTATATCCACATTATATATATCCACATTATATATATCTTTATTATTATATATCTCATATTATATATATCACATTATATATATCTATGGTAAAGTATTTAAAATGAAGCTTATATTTCTATCTTTCTCAGCACATATAAAAACATTTGCGTTTATTAACGAATTTACGTGAAATAAGCATTGTTCTGAGAGTGTTACTCCGTTGCTCGATCTGTGCGGGATCGGAGCTCGCCGATTAGAAAAATACACGTATCTTCGCTTTAAATACAAATATGCCCATGGTAAGGCATTTAAAATGAAGATTATGTTTCTATCTTTCTTGAGACGTATAAAAATCTTACGTTTATTAACGATTCTGTGTGAAATAAACATTGTTCTGAGATGAATATTGCGGATTTCCGGCTCTACGACCAATGAAAAATGCAACTTTTATACAACTACAAATATCTTTAGTTTTACTTTAAATTTTGTCCTGAAAGAGTTTTCATATATAGATCCAGTTTCTGCCGTTCTTCTGACATAAAAAGACCTTTGGTTTAATAAGTTATTAAGATGTTTTCAACAATATTACTAGGGCGTTCACCGATTCTAACATGGGCGACCCTTTTGGAAACGCAACACATGGGTTGACCTGATTGATATATGGGTCAGATTCCATTAAGGTTCGGAACATAGTCAAGAATTCTTACTAAACAGAAAAGGTAAAATATTAAGCTTAATTGTATATAACATATTAGTTAGTCTGTTCTATGTTAATCAGATGGTTTAGTTTTTAGCCAGAAATATAGTAATTTTTGTTATACATGATAAAGCAGTGTGTTCTCCGCATCTTGGAAAAGAGCACATGGCTTAAAGTTTTTCATGGAATTAATTGGATAATTGCCTGAATAATAAACCTTTATAAAGGCCTAACACAAGATTTGTTCGGGTTACATTATTGGGTATCCTAATTCTCATGAGCTAGTATCCTAATGGTGCATCGACTGATGGACCTGCGTCCAAATAGCTCATCATTGCATGGGTGCGTTAACTAATACAGGTACAGTACTCTACTGTAATACAATACTCTATGGCCCTTTATTATAGTGCAGCACCCAATGTATTTAGGTGTATGGTCAAATCATACATAGGCATTCTGACAAAGCTCGTTTTCTAATTGTGGTAACCAACACATATCGTTAAGTTACTCACTGTTAGCTAGGGCGAGACTGTTATGTTCATTTGAGCTAGATTGAGTTATGTTGGGTTAGGTTAGGTTAAGTTAAGTTGGATAAGGTTAAATAGGTTTTAAAATTAGTTATAAAAACAATTTGCCAGCTAATTTTACAATTTGGTACAATTGATACCAAGTTGTAAAGTCTCTTGGTACAATTTGACTTGTATCCATAATTTAAGTACAGTATCAAATAGTGATCTTCTTATACTGTGTTTCTCACCATTTTTCCTCTGAAAGTAACAAATGATCAATGATAATACATATAACATGTATGATAATGTATGTTTGTATATGTAAATAATATATGGGTGTGTAAATATGCACTACGCTGCATTTGACATTTACTGTTAGGGAAAAACAAAAAACCTGTGAATAAATTTTGAAAAATTACATAAATTCAGTTCAATAGAAACTTAGAAAACTCATAGCTGGTCCAATCTCAAATATAGTAGTCCATTTTATTGAGATTATACTTCATAACCTGAGGCTGAGTTCAGTATTCGTGTAGAGCAAAGCTTGGGTATATTTTTAAAAGGATATACTTAAGTTACGTTTGCTTTAGATTGAATAAACTGTTTTTTAGATGCAGATGTGTTGGCCTATGCAAAGTAAAGACAAAACATGTACACTAATTACATTTTCTCTCTTTTTATTTTGTTTTTACCATTATAACATTTAGGTTTTGTTATATATGTTTAATATGGATCTTATTTTGTAAGCACATGTCCTTGGTGAGTATAATAGTCTTTAACAATGTTTCCTTTGAAAATTATAATTGCAGTTTGTAACTCAAAACATTGCTCAACTCAACTCAATGGGCAGAGTTTCTTTCCTGTGCCCTTGTTACCTAGCAGTAAAATAGGTACCTGGGTGTTAGTCAGCTGATACGGGCTGCTTCCTGGGGATGGAGGCCTGGTCGAGAACCGGGCCGCGGGGACACTAAAAAAGCCCCGAAATCATTTCAAGATAACCTCAAGAAATTGGCTGTATGTACTATTTGTTGGCTCTAATCCTTTGTCAAGTGCTCTTATCAGAGTCTAATTTGCAGATAATGGCTACTGACAAAAAAAAGGAGGATACGCCAAGGTTCCTGGTGGGAGCATGCCTAGGAATGTGTCCTTATGCAGAAGTTCGACTGTGAGTTGTCTTGAACACTGTTCCTGTGCTCTAGAATAATATGGGATAATATTTTTATTTTTATGTCATGACTATATGAGTAGCTTTTAGTTTTTCATGTGCAGACCATATCTATAGGATAACCCATTGAATTAGTTTGAGATTTTAGGCAATTGTGCAATTCCAAATGAGCTTTTAAAATTGAATTTGCTCTTCCATGAAATTTGATACATTCAGTACATAATTAAGAATTCTATATAGTTTTTATTCTCTGCAGTCGGCAACGAGAAAACTTGGTTCATCCTTTGGAAATGGCAGTTGATTCCAATGGTGGAAGGCTGAATTACGTTCAGCCTAGAGCAATGGTTAAAGAGTTTTCTCGCTCAGCAGCTGGTCATGAGATAAAGGCATCTGATATTCGCCCTTTACCTGTGTTGATAAAAACCATGAAATATTTGTTAACTAGGTAAGTACATCATTAATTTAGTCCATTACCCTAGTAGGTAGCACTGTATAAGCTGTTCCAATTTTTATGCATGTACAATGTACTGTACAGGTATTTTACTTTTTTTTTGGGTCATCCATACAGTGCTTAAAGGGATCATATTTCAAGCTAAGAATGCCTTTATTTATCACCACAGAAATACTAAAAATGTCAAGCACAACTCTTAGGTGCCTTACAGAAATTTGACAGATATGTATAAGATAAATATCTTTAATAAATCTTTATAAATGAGGTGGTGACCTGAGTCAATTGATTGTGTGTATCTAAAAGATTATGGAATATTTGTAATCAGTATAGCTGGGATGGAGTGTGCTGGATTTAATAAATTTATCATCATTATTTTTGGCATCTGTGATTAAGGTGGATTATACTTCAACTTTCGAGCAACTATTCCTAAAATTTGTACGTGAATGAGGTTCTGTGGGCTCTTCCCAAGCTCGGCCTCGAGGCTTGACTCATGAGAGCTTGTACAACAGGCTGTTGCTTGGAGTATCCTGCAGTCCCACATAATCACTACAGCCTGGTTGGTCTGGCACTTCTTGCAAAATGAGTGTCCAGTTTTTTCCTGAAGACTTCCACTTTTGTTTTTGACAATATTTCTTATACTGTACTTGCTGGGAGGATATTGAACAACTTTGGGCCTCTGATGTTCATACAGTGTTCTCTGATTGTGCTTATGGCACCTCTACTCTTCACTGACTCTCTTCTGCATTTTCTTCTATATTATTCACTCCAGTATATTGTTATTTTGCTGAGTAAGTTTGGGACCTGTCACTCCAGTAATTTCCCAATCCAATAATTTAGGTGTTTGACCCATGTTTAAATTATTTGATACCTCTCTCATCTCCTTTCTAGAGAGTACATTTTGAAAGTTTTGAAACGATCCCAATAATTTAGGTGTTTGATCATGGCTGAACTCCTATGACTAATGCACTGGTCTAATGAATTGCATATTAGCCCGATAGCTCCAGGGAGCCTCCAGAGCTCACCCAGAAAATGGTGTTTCATTACATTCAACTTTGGTTTTTTATAAATACCTGTACAAACGAAACAGGAGTTGAAATTCAAGAAATGGCTTTATCATTTTAATCACAGAAATACATTTTCTTAGATAAATGATTATATGACAGAAATAAAGATTTTGGTAGAACATTTAGGTTCATTCTCAACTTGGGATCCCGGTTTGAGTCCCAGTTGGGACAGATATAGTTCTGTTCATTTACAACCAGAAGTTCGGAACATTTCCTATCACCTAATGCCTTTGTTCACCAAGCAGTAAATAGGCACCTGGGAGCTAGTTGGCTTGTTGTGGAGTTGCATCCTGGGGAGGGGATCAGTAGTTTGACCTGGCGGAGGGGGCCTTGATATAAGCCTGGACCATTATCAGGGCCAGCTGTATCAAACAAATTGATAATGGTTCAGGATGGACTGAAACTTCATTACTATTTTTATTTATAGATATGGCTTGGGGGTGTAATTTTCAGCCATGCTTTTTGTGGCTTATTGTCTGCATTTATTAATTGTACTGTAGAAGTTCGCTTATCCGGACTGCTGTATATGGGAAGGACTCCGTGCCAGATGAGCACATTTTCCAGATTAACTGATTTTTTCACCCCAGAAGCCCAAAAGTGAACATTTCAAACAATTTTTATACCACAAACAACATAATTTGAATTGCCACATATAATTATAAAATATTCAACCAGACACCTTGACTTACCTTGTTGTAGTTCATCTTCTTGATTGATACTACACATGTTGAAATTTAGAATTCTTGACAATTTACGTAACTTATTTTAACACAACACTAAAATTAACACTTAAAATTACTGTACCGTTCATGAGACAAGGTCAGTTTTGACTGCCAACTGCTAAAGCCTCACTCGTTGATGGTGCTTGGACTGCCTGTGAGGCAGTAACTGGTTGAAGGCGCTTGGGTTGCCTGTGAGACCTCACTGGTTGAAGGCTTTTGGACTGCCTGTGAGGCTTCACTGGTTGATGGGCCTTTAGTTGCTTTTCTTACAAATTAAGAATCAAGTTTAGCTTGCCTTCTGTGTTCATTGGCATCTTTTATGATCAGCTCTTTGGTTTGCCTCAGGCACTGATACATGTTTCCAACTTCTGGATTAGCACAGTTGGAGGAAAAATTAATTAATATGTCAACAGAAGACATGAGTAAACTGTATTTTGTTGTCTGTGGTGTTGGTTCCTCACTGCCTTTTTCATCCTCTGCCTCTTTGTCGACCTCACCAGTAATAGACTGGAGAATCTCTTCTTCATTCATCACACCATATTCTGGGTCATTAGCATATCTTTCAAGCTAATCAACCACATCCTGTCTTTCTAAAATTTTTACAGCAAGTCTGAACATTCCATGGATTTCAGCTGTAAATCCTTCAAAATTCATTTCTTCATCCTCCTCATTGTTGACCGTACATGTGAGGAGTTTTTTCCGGGAATTCTTCGAAGTCAAGTTCTTTACTTCTCTCCACATCTTAGCCCAGTTATAGATGGCTTCCTTGATGGAATAGTTCTTCAAATTCTCAAGGGTTCTTTTAGCCCTGTTATTCATGCCAAGTTTCACAGCTTCCTCTAGAAGCAAAATCACCAAAACTTCGCTGATCATCTTTTTGGTGTACAACCTCTTCGTGGCACAGATAACTCCCTGATCCATAGACTGGGTAAGAGAGGTTGTATTAGGAGGAAGTGCCATACACATTATCTTGCCATCATGTGAGGTTAACGTGTCAATTCTGGGGTGGGCAGGTGCATTATCGAGCTTCAGCAAAGCCCAAAGTTTGCTTGACCTCACTTTGAGTTTCTTAACTTGATGGTCACAAACTTCCTTGCAGAACCATCATGAAACCAAGAAAGATCTCCTGTGTAAACCATGCATTCTTTGAGTTATAATATTTTACAGGCAGTCTGACCAAGCAATGCTGCAAGGCTCTTGGTTTCTTTGACTTACCAACAATTGCACACGTGATTCTGACTGTGTCATCAGCATTGGCATACATCGTGGCCGACAGCCTGTTCTTGTTAACCTTACGCCCTGGCACACAACCCTCTTCATAGCTAAAGTTTTTTCAGGTAAATTCCTCCAATACAGCCCAGTTTCTTCAGTGTTATACATTTTATAAGAATATAAATTATTTGACAAAATGTATTTTCTTAATTCATGTTTAAATGGTTCTACACTGCTTGTATCTGCAGTCAATTTTTCACCAACAATTTTCCTCTTCACAATATTGTGCCTCACTTTGAACCTTGCAACCCACCCATCACTTGCTTGGAAATCCTTTATTTCAAGGCTTGTTGCAAACCTACTTGCAGCATTTCTTATTTCTGGGCCACGAATTGTCACCCCAGCTGTGCAGTGCTGAGCAAACCACTTGTATACAGCCTCATCCAACTGTACATGCTTTGAAGGCTTCAAAGTTCTTCCACCACACCCTCTGCTGGTGCATGCACCTTCACTCTCACTGGTTGAAATATATTTCAGGTATTGCTCTTTTTGTTTCCTTATATCAGAAACAGTACTAGGTCCTATACACGTATTTAAGTCCTTGGTAACACTCGAAGTCGACCAGCCACTTTCACAACGTTTTATAACACGTAACTTGTCTTTAATTGTTAGGACAACCTTCTTCCTCTTAACACCTCCAGAACAATTGATGCTGCTACCAGACATAATCTTGGCCAAAAATGTTCAAAGTTACTATGAAAACAAAAAATTATTTAAACAATTATTTCACTAATGGCATGGCACTGTGATATAACATGAGGGTTGGCAGCACATGGGTTGTTTGGCTTGACCAGGCCTCAACGGGTCTACATGGGGCAGGCAGGAACGTTATGTAGGCCGCCAGGTGAAAAAATATTTTAGGAGCAAACTTCAGCCTGTGCAAATTGTTTTTAGGAAACTTGTATATTTGTTATAATACAGTATTATTTAATATTTATTTTGTTTTTGACTGTGATGAATTGTTCTAAAATTATTAGTAATTACTGTACTGTATAGGCCTCTTATCCCCCAGGCAGTCCCTCCCAATGCTTCCCTCTCTCCCGACACCACCCATCTTCCTCCTCCCCTACACCATGCACCTCGAGCCACAACCGTATGGAATTAATACGGTAAGGCCCGATGCCTGCCTTTCTGATTCTGAATAATCTCCACTTGTCCAGCTTACTGTCCTGATTGGGCAGCATCGGTAGCAAGTTAACCATCTCAGATTTCAACTTTCTAACAGTAAATGCTGATCCGGCCAAGTGTCAGCTAGTCCGACTTCTATGGACATTTTGGCCAGATAGGGAGATAACTTTATCCGGCCACGATTTTTGCCGGATTAGGGCATTTTTCGGATCGGCGTGCCCTAGAATTATCGAGCTGCTACAGTACTTCAGTTCTTTGTTAATGTGAATACACCGCTTAACATATTTTCATTTGAATTGCCTAGCTTTATTTATTTCAGTGTATGCCAGAGACAAGATGTGTCTTGGGCTGTAGTATACCAGTTCATTAGTGATCGACTGCGAGCTGTTCGACAAGACTTGTGTGTTCAGGGACTCAAGAATTTCACATGTATACAGCTTTATCTTGCTGCTGTTAGATTCTACACATATGCTCACTATAGGTATGTTGTTTGTTAAGATGCCATTACCATTCACAAGATCACCATTAATGAAGAAAGCATTTGTTGAACTAAAAAATAGTAGTTATTTCTAGGTTCTAGACTATATAATGCAATAAAATTTTCCATGTCTTTAATTTTACTTTCAGAACAGGATTTTATTTTTTGCTGCTATAGTAAATATATATATATATATATATATATATATATATATACTGTTATATATATATACATATGCTGTTCTGTATGTCAATGGTCTTTTGTGTAAAACTTGTCAAGAATGACAATACTGTAGTAGTTGTAATTACAATATTTATGGTTGTCCTGCTAAAACTGTAAAAGTTTAATTAAAATGTTATTGGCTGCATTAATTAGAAGATGTGCTTGGAAATATTCATTTAAAGTTATTCCCTATTTGTCTTAATAATATAATATTGTTTATGATTAAAGATTGAACCTCGCATGAAAGGCTTGGAAGGCTTAAAGGACGGTTTATTTCTGTGGATAAAATGATTTTATATTTTAGGTAAGATTTACCTATTACAGTCTTTGGTGTTTAGTATGGGGAATAAAAATTGACAATTTTAATTCTAATGGGCTTTGGTGGGTTTTGTTTTATTTCTTGCCTCGACAAATTTGTTTTATGGAAGACAACCCATTAATTGTTATTTATTTATATATAGTCTTCTGTTTTCAGAACTTGCGAACATGACTTGAATGACTTTGATCCATATCTCAATAAGAAACACCTTATTGAAACATTAACACTAGTTATCTCACTCTTCCAAGACCAAGACACCGAAGAAAGAGAACATAAGATAAATAATGCAAGTTTTAGAGATGATGAACTATTTTCTAACAATTGGGACGACAGTGATGAAGAGGAACTTTGGAGTAATGGCAGTGAGGATACTAGTGAGAGCAAGATTGTTCAGGATGCAAAAATAAGTGAAAAGAATAGTATCCCCAAGAGAACAGAAACAGAAGAGTCGCAAAGCCAAAGCCAAAGCTCAGAGGCAGACATAGAGGAAGTAGTAAGAGATTTGAATGGAGCTGGGATTTCAAAAAGTTCTACGGATACTGAACAAGCATCATCATCACTATCAACAGATAGAAGAGAAGAGCGTGAACATATTATGATTTCTGGTTATTCATCAAGAGAAGAAGCTGAGGCATTATATTTATTGGTAAACTTTGGCAATGAAGAAGTTCTGAAACATGCAATTGAACTTCGAAAAGATATAAGGTAATATTACTATTTATCTTACTTAGCAATTAATAGCTATTTAATTAATTTCACTTCTTTTATTAATTTTGCATTTATTATCTGCATAATTTTAATTACACTCCTCATACTGTATCAAGAATTACTTTTAAGCAGCTTTACTTGTGCTTAATCTTTCGATATATTATGTACACCATGCTGCCACCTACATGATTAAATTGTTCTATGGTGGAATGAGATGTTTACAACTTATTTATCTATGATAGAAATTTTAAATTCAATTATTGCTATTATTTCTCTGAAAATTAAATGATAAATTAATGTTAATTTAGCATATGAGATTGAATTATATTTTATTTATTGTTGATATAGCATGGTTTACATATTTTTTTGGGCTATGGGTAATCTCGGGAGTTAGTGTTAGTTGTTATATTACAGGTGTTCAGAACTCGTCTCTCTAGCAATCAAGATGAATATTGCATGGATCTCCTGTAATTACTGCCGTGTTCTCCAGCTTTCCACATCTCTACCGCCATTATTCCTTTGCGCCTTCCACGCACACATGACCATGATACAGAGGTATGCTTCATATTAATAGCACGAACCAAATTTGATGAAACGTTAATCCTTCATTACTGTTTTAACTAATTTGTTTACAGAATGTTTACTATCATACTTCTATTTTCTCAAGTTATTCTCTTGTTATCTACAGACTCTTTTGTTTACATTTTTATTTTGTGCGCTTGCCATGTTCTTATTCCACCAAGCAGTTACAGTGGTTTTATTATAAAATTCTAAGTCTCTGAGATGTAAGATGTAGGCAGATAAAATATACATATGTATGGAAGCAAATTTATGGATTTCCACTTAGGGTGGACGGTAGAGCAACGATCTCACTTCATACAGGTCGGCATTCAATCCCCAACTGTCCAAGTGGTTGGGCACTATTCCTTTCCCTCTGTCCCATCCCAAATCCTTATCCTGATCCCTTCCAAGTGCTATATAGTCGTAATGACTTGGCGCTTTTTCCTGATAGCTCCCTCCCCCTTCCGAAGCAGAGAAGGAAAATGTTTATAGAGTATTGTTTTCTCTACAGAACAGCACTTGGCATATTAAGTAAAGCTCATAGCAGTAAAGGACTGGTGTATAAACAAGAAGACCTTGCTGCTCTCCTGTACTTTCCCAGCACACGGGAACTAAAGGAAGCTTGCAGACATTATGGCCTCACTGTGACTGACGAAGGCGTCATTTTCGTGAAATCAGCATTTAACTGGAATACACCAATGGTAAGAAAGTGCAGAAAATGCTTGACATTATTTTAATTTTTGTACAGTATTGAAATTTAAAATCAAGAGTTTCTTTTGATTTCTTCATCATCATAATTACTTGCCACTGTCTTATGGTGGGGTGTTATCATCCTTGAGGTAATAAAAGGATAATCGACCTTTTATGATGAGAAGACTGGCAAAAAGCATTTGCCAGTCTTCTGACCATTTGTGGAGTTTATGTAGATCTTTGTAAGGCTTCAATACAGTATCGTTATCATTTCCCACTTTACCATAAATCTTTGTGTCATCTGCAAATTTGATGATGTTGTTTGTAATATTCTCATGTGTTATTGATGTATGTGACAAAAAAGGTTAGGTTCCAAAATGGACCCCTTGTGACACCCCACTTATCACATTTCTCCATTCAGATTTGTTTCCATTTAGCATGACCCTTTGTTTTCTTTCCTTCAACCATTGTTTTATCCATTCTAATATTGTACCATTTATTCCATGGGCCTGTAATTTCCTTGCCAGTCTTTCATGTGGTACCTTATCAAAAGCTTTAGCAAAATCCATGTATACTACATCCACCAGAAGGCCTTTGTCTGAGTAGCTGGTTACCTTTTCCAAAAATGTGAGCAAATTTGTAAGGCAGGATCTGTTTTTAACAAATTGATGTTGTGTCAATTGTTCAAGGTTGTTCACTGAAAGACGGTGAACGAGTCCCCCCTGGGGACTCTCTCCATGAGCTTGCAGATGTGTGATGTCAAGCTGATTGGCCGGTAGTTTTCTGCTGAGCTCTTTCTGCTTTTTTTTTTTAAATATGGGTAACATTTGCATATTTCCAATATAGAAGGCCTAACCCCCCCTTGGTCCAGAGTTTTTGTGAAAAATAATTTCAGTGGCAGACATAGTTCTTCTGCCAGTTCCTTTAAGACCCAATGTGTGGATTCCATCCACACCTTGGGTTTTGAGTCTTTTAGTTTGTCAATGTTCTTTCTAATTATTTTGCATGTTACGGGTATATCCCTAAATTCATTCTCCTCCCCTCCTTCAAATATTTGTGTGGGTGATGGGATGTCATCCAACCTTTCGAATGTGAACACTGCTGTAAAATAATCATTTAGAGTGCGACCCTTTTATCGTCCATTATAGCTTGGTTAATCTAATCTGTTAAGGGGCCAACTGAGTCCTTTGTTTTGGTTTTATCTTTTTTATTGGTATAGAACTATTTTGGATCTTTCTTTATGTTTTGGTCTGATCTTCTGAGTGGCCAAGTTTAGTGCCCTTTTGTATAACTTGTAATCAGTGATGTCCATCGGGGATTTATACATTCTCCAGATGTTCCTCTCATTCCCAATGCCCATTTTACGACCTGTGTCATCCATTAAGTTCCATTTCTTGTGTTTCTTCTTTTCAGCACATATTTTTGAACGGGTTACGTGATGACTCTTAAAATTTTGCTATGATGCTTCTATGCCATGTTTGACCATCAGCTCCCTCCAAGAGATGGTTTTGCAGTTCCTCTCCCATTCCTTGATAGTCTCCTCACTGGTAATCTAGAAATTCATCACCCTTGACCTTTATGAGGGTTTCTATATTCATAGTCCATCTTAAAATATGGTGGTCACATGAAGGGGTTAGTTAATTTTTCTCCCACATGAATTTGATCAGTCATACCCTCTTCCGTCATCAGCACAAGATCTAGTCTGAATTTTTGTAGACATTTATGCTTTTAGACTCTTCTTAAAGCACATTTTCTCTTAACCAGCATATAAGTCTTCTGTTTACTATGTGTGCTTCTCCTTCATGTAACATTATTACTGTTTTTCATGGCCTCACATTTTCATTTGCTTCCTATTCATGTGACATTTAAAAAGCTGACAAATTGATAAACAGATATCTCCTTTTTTATATACTGTATAGGTATTATTTTTACAGTGGAAAATTAAGTATCTTTCAGATTAAATTTGCAATAAGTGTTTTTTTCTATTCAAAACTATAAGATTAAGTGGTAGGTTTTCATTGTTTTGTTTTGTTTTTATTTCATTTGCTGTTCTAATTTTATAGTAGATCCTATATAGCATCTTAAAAGTACTAATTCAGATTTTTTAACAGATGAAACCAATGCGTGTTAAGAGGATAGAAGATAAGTTGACCAACATACAGCTGTCTGAACTCTTGCTTCCAAATGGTCTTGTTCTGTAGTGTTATTTATGAAACTGTTGCATCATTGTAGTGTTACAGTTGACTTCTGCATGCAGGTAATATTGGAGATTACAAATTTGTAAAGCTCGTGTTTGAATTCCCGGACCTGGATTTTACCTGGATGGGGTTCTGGGAGTTCCTCTACTTCCCAAGCCCATCCCGTGTTTGAATTCCGGACCTGGATTGTACCTGAATGGGGGTTCTGGGAGTTCCTCTACTTCCCAAGCCCAGCCCGGGGCCAGGCTTGACTTGTGAGAGCTTGGTCTAACAGTTCCTCAAGTGCCATTGTGATGCAATGGGTTGCTGTTGTTGCAGTCTATCTTGCAATTAGACTAGTAAGCATATGTACAAAATTTGAACAGTTGTTCATAGGAAATGTTCAAATTTTTTCAAGCGTAGGTTAGACGTATATATGAATAAGTTTCTATAGATAGAAATAGGAGCGGCCTCGTATGGGCCAATAGGCCTTTTGCAGTTACTTTGATTCTTTTGTTATTGTGTTCTTACATGGTCAAGATTTTATATTACTGATAATTTTAGAGTAGCTAAACATAATAAACTAAAAGAGTGATAATTTTGATTAAAAAAAATTGTTCTCTCAGAAAAATGACTGACATTCTGTAATTGTTCAATGAATGATACCAGCCCAAGGCAGGCAGCATGATGGCAGTGTTGTGGCAGATAGGATCATAACAGTAAGGTTAAAATCCTTGGTTTATGTCTCTAAGTAGTACAGTAATTAGAGACTACTTCCTTAACTATTGTTTTGTTATACAGTAGTTGTGTTATGTATGCAAGGGAACTGTGCAAGATCATTTCATTTACAGTGCTGAAATAGAGTATATTAGATTACTGGAACTGAATACAGATTGTCCTGTATACTGTAAGTACAAACTGCATACTTAAATGTATGGTTCTTATTATTTTCCTGTTAGCTTTTTCATAGATTTAAATCTTTTAAAATGTAATATTTGACCCAACTTTATTTCTATGTAAAAGGCAGTGTTAGTGTTTTAGAAAAAAAATTCAGGATTTTAGCACAATTATGTATTGCTACTGTTTGTACTGGGTGTTAAATTAGATTGTATGTATCTTCACAGCCTCTGAATGTACGTGAAACGAAGTAACAGATCCTGTCTTCTGAGCATTTGCATTCAGTGGCCCCAAAGAAAGTAAGATTTGCTGCGTCCTTTATACAGGACTAAGGCAGATGACATTCTAGACACCTTTGCTACAAACCTTTTCTATCAGTGCTTACAAGGTCAATAAAGGTGGTAGGGGTCACAGGAGATTAGCTAAGTCTACAATGACACATGTGCATTTGTAGAACTGAAAGCCCAGTAAGAGTTCTTTTATATGATGAAAGGTAATGGTCCAATAAGGTCTTCGCCTAACAGGTTATTACAATATCGTCCTGACGACTAGGTAGCATTGGGTCCATGTAATTACCCAAAGCCACAACATTGTCACTTGGATCATCGACTTCCTGTGGTTTTTACTTCCTTCCTGTGATTTTACACCTGCTACTTAGTTTTGTCTAATTTTACTATAAAATGATATTATTTCAGAGGAGAAATATGTTTTTTCATGTTCTACATTCAACACCAACATTATAGTGAGTAAATATATCATAGTTCTTCATTACAGTACTTACATAATGCTGGGAAGCTTTGGTTAATTAGACGGACTGATAGCATCACCACCACAACGTGGTCCAAAAACCCTCATAAAGATTATGGCAAGGTTGGCAGGCTGGGACAAGAGTGTGTGACTTATTTCTAATGAGTGATGGCGAGTTATTAATTATATTCAGTGTTTATTGTCTGTCTGTGCTTCATATATACGTCTCTTCAGGTAGGTTTGTTCTTGTAAGTATTTATTAGAATTTGTGGTGGAGCACAGCTGTGGCTCAATGTTTGGTGTCATTCCCACTTCACTCACATTACTCCTGTGCAATATCAGTGACCTTGTTGTTGTGATCTGTTGTGATGTTTCCCAGTGTAACATTGAACACAAAGGAAAACTTCCTTCTTTTGGAGTGCCTGAGAGCAACAAATAAGCCACCATTAGCCAAGAGCAATCAAGAACTCGGTACTGCAACTGAACTTCAATTGAGATGGGTCCAGTTTTGAAGAGCAGTCTGCTACACAACATAGGGTGCAAAAATGGACTATCTGTTGCTGTACCATGTTGTGTAGCACATGGACTGTTTAGGGATCAAAGGCTTTTGGACTTATCTTTCCTACCCTGAAGGCACAAAGCTTTTCCACTTAACCCTTAAACTGCTAAGCTTTTTAAAAGTCCTGTCATGGTGCATATTGAAGAAAGATATGAAGACCTATAAATAAATAAGGAAAAAGTAAGGATCAATCACATGCGGAAATTTGCGTACGGAAGGAAATTACTGATAGTGACTTCAGCTCTTGTATTGGGGGGTTAAATTTAATTAGCCCCAGGCCTATTCTAGAGTTCATAACATTTGCATATTTGCATTTAATAAGTGTTTGTTCTTTGCTATGGCTTGTGGTCAGATCCATGTCCAAGGCATTTGGAGGAGAAACAAGTGGCTGCAGAGAAATCTCTCAAAAACTCCCTTCCAATGTTGGAGGTGTTTGGATGCCTATTTTCCTATTAGCTCCTCAACAGTTTCCAATTGTGCCACAGTCTTCTGCTTTTAGATGAGACTCCCATGTCTTTTCCTTTTTCATTTACAAATGTGCGACACCTCAAGGTAACTACATAAATGTAAAATAGCTCAGAAATAACTCGGTAAATATAAATATCTTTTCTGGACAATGACTTTTGGTTGGGCCTGGTTTGTTTGGATCTGGTTTAGTTGAACCTGGTTTAGTTGAACCTGGTTTAGTTGGACCTGGTTTGGTTAGACGTGTCTCTGCAGCATGTGCTGCATGTACATCAGGAAGACTGTTTAGTTGGGGTCTGGATACCATGTGGTAATATATCTGCTATCTAGAGACAGCTGGAAGGTACTCTCTCTTCTGAGACAGCTTCAAAGAGTTTCCCACAGAATCCTTTTGCTTGTCCAATCCTTAGAATCCTTTCCTAAAGAACACATAGGATACAGACGATGCTTCATAATAACGTGGCTGAAGATATGATGACCAAACTGCAAATCAGAAAATGAAGAAAAGATAACATTTCCACCGGTCCTGGACCATTATCTAGTCTTGAACGAGATTGAAACTACTTGATAATGGTCCAGGACAGACTGAAACAAGAGTTTCTTCAGTTTCTGATATGTGGTTTGGTCATCGACATATTGGATCTCGTTATACCTCGTGGGGCAATCTAATGACTTTGATCAGAAAGGATTTTTTTCCATATTTACTTAGTTTCCCCTTTGAATTAGAATTTTCCTACTTCTAGCTAATCAAGGTGTGTTATGCTTGTCCAATGTCCTTTTAGTAAGAATCTTCAAAATATTTCATTCATACTCTAGCTATGCTAGTACATAAGTGGGAGAAGATGCATCAAAATAAAGTTGGCATTGTACTCTCATTCACAGATTCTTTTAGGAAAAATTGTAGTGTGTTAGTTATATTTTAATTATAGTTTATCAAATGTGAGTGCTTGTCTTATTAAGCTATGTTACGGGTCATGCTGTTTATCCATAATATTGGTAATAGCACCAATATATGTATTAAAATGTTAATCTGTGCATCTGGTATTGAAAACAGTTTAACGTGCCATACGATAGTAATGTATGTGATATCCTGTCCCCTGTGGCATGGAGATCATATAAATATTACCGTACATCACAAATTTTAAGGAATTCATGTTTTATGTCCACTAACAACACATACAAATTTGTGTGCCAATGAATGTATTTTTAATACAAGTACCTGTATTGATGAATCATGTTTTATTTTATGTACATCCACATCCAGGCAAAACTTTAATTTTTCTAAATATTTTTCACACTGCTATCTTGTTTTATCATTTAAGGGAAAATGAACAGTTTTAAATGCAAGTTATTATCTGTATGTTTTGGAGTTAAAACACCTTGGCATTTCTCCAGTCCAATACATTGCCTCTGATTACTGCCCTCAATTTTGTCAGAAAATTTTTCATCCATGTTAGGAGCCTACCGGTCATGTCACATGATATTACAAGTTGTTGTTTTAGATTCAGCTACTCTAAACCAAAAGTTCCAAGCAGCACGGGTTATGGTGAGCCTGTCATACTCACCTGGCACAGGAGATGTGGGGATATTACAAGTTGTTGATTTAGATTCAGCTACACAGAACAAAAAGTTCCAAGCAGCATGGGCTATGGTGAGCCTATAGTGGACTTACCTGGCACATGAGCGGGGCTGTAACTGAGTCTGGCTTACAAGCTTATAGGGTGGGGTGGTGAATATATAGGCAGGAATGAGATGAGGTGAAAACAATGTATTTTTTCACAAACATAAGAGGAAACTGCAGAAGGTTCAATGACTCATACATGTGAGTTCCAGGAATAATAATGAGTCCCATCAGCCCCCCCCGTCTTGTGTGAAATTTACATACCATTTTGCATCCTATTCCAATAGGATGCATAGGCTCCATCCTATTTTTATTTTTTATTATTATTATTATTATTATATACCGTATGTGCAAGAGTTCTTACATTCTTGTACTGCCACTAGCATGCATGGCGTTTCGGGCAAGTCTTTAATCCTATGTTCCCCAGAATACAACCCCCCGCCAAATTGTTTAACAACCAGGTACTCATTTTACTGTTGGGTAAACAGAGGCTACAATTAAGGATTGAGGCCCAGTAAATCCTCCCCGGCCTGGATATGCTGGATACGAACCCAGGACAAAGCACTCTCGAAATGCCAGGCAAGTGTCTTACCACTACACCATGGGTACTGATTGTGGGTAAGTAGTGAAACTAAAACATCTTGGTAGTTCTTAGTAAATTAAAATAATTATTAATTATTATCTGTAACAATTTCAATTGGCACCAAGTAATATATATAATAGCCTATGCTTTTAATAAATTAAAGAGAATAGATGGTACATAGAGTATTATAGAAAACGAATAGGGTAAGGTACACTACAGTTCATGGGATAGGTATGGGGTCCATTAGACCCACAGGATGGGTATGGGGTAATATACAAGTAAAAATATTATTAATAATTAACAGAGTAATGAATTTATTATACAGTTCGTGCATCCTGGAGAAGGTCAGTAATTCTTCCTTGTTGAGCTTGAATCAGTTGCTCCTTGTTAATGCACCCTGGGAATGGTCAGTAATTCAACCTAACACAGGAAACAGAGGATGGGACAGAGACTTTGTGGGACGGAGCACAGAGTGCTCCAAAGTTAGCCAAATCATTTTCTCGTAAAGAGGGAATTGATTATCATATTTTATTGTCTTTCAGCAGCCTACGGGCATCAATATTCTCGGAAAAGCAAGAAAATCTAGTAGACTTGAGGTTAGTTTTGTTCATTTATTATGCACCCCATACCCATCTTGTGGGCAGTAGTGGAAAGGGTTACAGAGGCACACAATGGGCTCAGGCACTGCGACCCACAGTTCATTTAGCTAAGCAAGTTACAATCTTGATGAGTTAGTTATAAAATTTAATGCACATCGTCACATCAACAATGGGCTCAAGACCGACCACAAGTACAGTTTCTAATTCATGTTAATTAATTCTAATCCATTTCTCCACTTGTAGACCTCTATCATGTCACCCCTAGCTCTTCGCCTTTCCAGTGAATGCAATTTGAGCTTTGTTAGTCTATCTTCATATGAGAGGTTTCTAATTTGGGGGATTAACTTTGTCATCCTTGTAACAGTTGTCGAGGTGACTTGTGTGTTTGGTGTATTCAAGTGTATTCTGATGACTGGACGCCGGTAAGCTGTATATATATATATGAGCCAATGACATCAGATGGTGCGAATTTCTAGAGAAGCTGACAATTAAACAAGCAGTTAGCATCTGGTCGACCGGCGAGTGGGGTCTGGGCCCCTGCCCAGACAGCAGGTGTCTCGGGTGGTGGAAGGAGGAGGGGGGGTCTGTAAGACACCCCATACGTTTTGAGCACGTATTGTTATTGTCATTGATGTTGAAGCATGCAGGTACGTTGGCGAATAGGCGGTATAAGAAACAGGTAAGGATCTACTGCCTAAGCAGGAAATTACCTTAACAGAGTTGTCTGAATTCACGTATCTTTTTGCACTCCATCACATAGTGACAGGGTGTGCGAATAATTTTGTTGACAGTTTACATTTGGTCTTGAGGCGAAGTTAAATTCACACTAGTTTCACTATCTGTCATTGTTTTATTATGCAGGAAGACGAACAGTTCCTCTTGTAGTTTGCACCACCTACTGATGTAGACTTTACTAAATGTAAACTGTCAGCAGAAATATTCACATATTTTACGTCATTATATAAATGTGAAAAAATCGCAGAATTCAGAGATAACCCCATCATTGCCATTCAAGAAATGAGTATTTAATTCATAATGATGTAATTATGACTATAAGTCTGCCGTCCAGTTGGATGGCTTTGGAGCAGGATTAGTAACTGTGTAACTTAACTCATCGCAGATATAAACTGTCTTGTATATAGATTGTTGTAGACCACTTCTTGAATCACTTGTTATTTATAAATACTATTGATATAGGTACTTGTGTTTGTGTAACTCACTTCACAAAATTGTTACTTGCTTAGCTAAATGAAATGTGGGATTCGGTTCCTGAAACCATGTGCCTCTAACCCGTTCCACCATGGCCCACGGGATGATTATGGGGTACGTAATAAATAACTCAATTAAGATTTCAGTGAAGTCTTCAGCGATGATGATAGCTGAATGCTCTTTTTTGTAAAATTTAAATAGTTATTAGGGTTTAATAAGTCTCGTGGATGGAGGAACTGATGTGAATTTAACTTTGCCTCGTCTACTAGATTTTCTTACTTTTCTCAGAATATTGCTGCCCTCAGGCTGCTGAAAGGCAGTCAAAGATCACCCACGTACTACAAATACAAATAATCGCCAACAGAACCTAAAAACCTAACCTGTGCACAATATGCTAATATATTATGTGACGATAGTCTAAAATAGAACAGTGGCTTTTCTGGCTGGTGTTGTGCCACTCGCACATTAAATAAAAAAGGTAAAACAAAGTAAATAAGACTGCTTTTGATCTCTACACTGTGAGAGCTGTGGGTAAAACAAAGAGAATAAACACTTAAAACATTTAATATAACAAAAATTACTTTAATAACAAACAAAACCCCCTTATCCACTTGGCTAAAACACAACATTATGAAAAGAAGTATAAACACGGGCGAGTGTTTACGTTAAGCAAAAGAGAGGTGCAAATTACCGTAGATTTTCTACTGACGGTAGAAGCTTTACGCATCTACCGTCTCCTAGGAGGGCGACAGTATATGTTACTGCTGAGAACACGAAGTATATTCTGAGGACTGGACGCCGATGAGCTCCTTTTATATGGGCCTAGGCCGGCATAGATGGCGTTAATGTTGGTAACCATTGGCCGGCAATTAAACAAGCAGTTAGTGGCTGGTCGACCGGCGAGTGACGCTGGGGCTCTGCTCAGACAGCAGGTGTCCAGGTGTCTTGGATACTAGAGGGTGGAGGGGGAGTGGTGTGTCTGTCTAGACACTGAGGCATCTGAGCATGTATTGTTGTTATTGATGTTGATTCCGTATGTTAGAGCATGCAGATACGTTGGTGAATAGGCGGTAAGGGGAACAGGCAGGATCTTCTGTCTAAGCAGGGGATTACCGTAACAATTATAATATTAATTTATACTTGAGAAAATTCCCGTTTTGAATGAACAGCATGTAAAAATTTATGAATGCATCTGTGGGGTCGACCGCTGCATGTAATGGACTAGAGTCGAAGAGGTGTTGCATAAACAGGTTAGGCGGGTGCATAGAATCATTTTTGGGTCTTTGTTTGGAGGACGAGATGCATAATCGGTTCAAGAACTGAACCCCATAGTTCGTTTAGCTAAGCAAGTGACAATCTTTTGAAGTTAGTTACACAATTGTTAACGTTACATCCACATATACATATATATATACATCCATGTACTCAAATTCACATACATATCAATAAGTTTTTTATAACAAATTATTCAACAAGAGGCTCACAAGTCACTATTTAAGGCACTTTACATCTATTGGTGAGTCACGCAGTTACTAGTCTTGCTCAACAGTCTCCCAACTGGGCGGCAGCTTTACAGTCATGTGCATGCTGCACCTACAATAAGCAAATTTTGGATACTTCGCTAGGATTCCTGTCAGTATATCATTATGAATGAAGTACTTACACATTTCTTGGACTCATTTTTTTCAGGAAAATTCCTGTGCGAGCCCTAAGCCTCTAGCTGGCCCACTAAGCGTTACTTTTTAATGTTTTACTTAGGCGGAGTATGAGTATTTATGACTTGTATGGTCGCTTCAGTAAGATTTTGTACCATATGTTTAACAACTTCTGCTCTGCTGAATATAAGTTGAAATCTTAATGGGTTTGTAACTGTGCACTGTGTTAGATAATATTCCAGTGGTCTGTCAGGCATCTATCCACGGTGCTGACATTTCCTCTCATCTGGAACCTGTAAGCCTATTTCCCACGCACATGGGTATCCAAGCCTGATGCGACGTAAGTGTACTAATGTTGTTCTACTGTGGACTCCATTGATGGTGTTATCTCTGAATTCCGCGATCCCGAACCTAAAAATTGCAGGGCACTGCTGAGCCTAGCATTGGTGACATTAAAAAGTCTGCTAACCTTATTGGATGACCCATAGACGTGCGGTTCATCCTGCATAATAGAATGATGATAGATAGAGCAACTGGTGGGAATTTCACATTGCCTCAAGTCTGC